CCCCTCGCGCATCGTCTTCTGTGAAGAGAATTGGCTCTTCTGTTTTCGGCCGCTTTGGGGGGTTCTGTTCCTCTCGGGTGACCTCGCGAACCGACGTCCGAGCTACCGCTAAGGTGCACCCTACAACGATCGAACCTCCCGCTATCATGTGGATGGTTTCCCGAACTGGCCTCTCCTCTAGGGGCTGTCTCTGCGGTTGTTCGGCCGCTTTGCTACTGGACTCGGTAGCGTCTTTGCCATGCTCTCCTTGCTGACCTGTTCTATTACCATTATTAGTGTTATTATTATTTTATACAAAGTTTCTCAAATATCCGCGACGGATAAGCTCTTCTATCTCGTCGCGGAGGTTTTTACAACTCTCGGTACTCTGACCGTGGTCCTTGTGAAAGCTGCAATACAGACTCTTGTTTCTTTCATTGGGATTCCCCCTCAGACGGGGTGGCCACTTCACGTACGGGGCGTCCTTGATGGCCATCAGGATTTCGGCCCGCTTTGCGTTCAGTGGAGTGTAGTCAGCTCGGTCTGGCGCAGGAGCTTGGAACAACTGACCCGCCTTTGCACCCCGAACTATTTCCTTTTTCCTTCGGGTGTCCTCTTGACTGGAAGGTTCCCCTTCTCTCTTTATTTTTTCGGGTGCGCTTTCACCCTTCTGGTTGATCTCCTCCTTGGTGGCTATGAACTTATCCGCAAGCTTTAGAAAGTCGATTATGGTCGTGGGTTGGTCGACGACCATGTGCCACTTGAATTCTTTGTGCTTTACACCCTTCTTGGCCGCTGCTAGGCATACGACGGGGTCCAGGCGTGGTATCTGCATACAAGCATCGTTGAACCGCTTGATATAACTTCGGATGGACTCCCCTTCTCTCTGGGCTACGTGGAAGATGCTTTCTTCAGTCCGCGAGCACCGTTTGCTGGTGACAAAGTGGGACGTGAAGGCTTGTGCGAACTGTGCCCAACTTCTTATCGACCCGGGTGTCAAGTTCCGGTACCACGTGCGGACAGCTCCCTTGAAAGTAGTGGAGAAGGCCACGCACATGCATGACTCACTGGCTCGCGCCAGGTGCATCTGTGACTGAAAGGCGTCTACATGGTCATTCGGGTCGAACGACCCGTCATACTTGTCAAGAGGGGGAAGTTTGAAATCTTTGGGCATCGGGACTGCCAAGAGTTCGGAGGACAGGGGGGACGGAACTGAGAGGAGGGGAGCCCTGGCTCCGGCTGAGCCGACCTCTTCTTTGCCCATGAACTCGGGCAAATCGCAGGTGACAGATCGACGAGCTCGGCGGTGACGCCTCTACTTCTTGGTGGGCTCGGCGTTCGTGCTGCTCACCTCCGCGCTGTCTAGAACGGTTTGCGTTGGGAGCAGCCCGATCTACTGGTGATGGCTGCGGACAGAAGGGGCCTGCTTAGAGTCTGTTGCCAGGATCTCGAACCGGTTTTCAGGGATCGGGGTTCCGAACTTCGACTGTCGACGTTGACCTGTCGGGCCGGGGTCCTCCC